AGTGTGACGGGAAGAGAAAGGATACAAATCAAGATCACACATTTGCTTAGCAATACAGCATTATGCATGTGTTATTGGCATTTCTGTTAGATTACTCAACATATTTTAATTAGGGATTTTTATTTTTAGTATTTTATTTAAAATAACAATTAAAATGCCTATCTTAGTCAAGCAGTTAGTGTTGCCACAAAGTAGAGAGCTCCACAAGAGCTATCTGGGCCAATGTCTCAGCGACTCAATGCTTAAAACAAGTCCAAAAATATTTGGAAGATTAGCCATTGTCCATGGCAAGGGGCCAAAGGTTGGTAATACTAAGGATAATGGATGAAGGTGCGTTCTCCATGGAATATGATATTTTTCATTTCAGTAGCTGAACATGCTGCACAAATGAGAAAATAAATATGCAATTCTTTTTAGTGATCATGCTGAATTCCTGAAGTAAGGCAGAGAAACCCTGTACTGATTTGGAAAGATGCATCACACATGCATGTAGCACCATGGTATTTTTAAACCCTACCAAGCCTCCATAGAGTTTTTGATCAGCTGCAAGAAAGAATAAAGAGACCTGGTATCAGAATGGGACATCTAGATTTGGTCTCCATTGATTAGGAAGATAGGAATTGCCAGACTGGATCAGACACAAGGTCCATCTAAGTCCAGAATCCTGTCTCAAACAATGGCCAGCACCAGATGCTTCAGAAGAAGGTGCAAGAAGTCTCCTAGACAGGAAATTTCATTATCATTTGGCAGGATTTTCCCCAAGGACAATAACCTCTGCAATGAAGTTGGAAAATGTTGAAAAACAAAATAGCTGAGGATCCCATCCTTGTCAAAAGATTTGGACAGAAATGATAATGGACTAGGAAAGTCTTGCAGACTATATTTCTTAGCAAGCCTGCTCTTGTTTACCAACCTTCCCATGTTTCTTTAATTGCTTTCCTTGGACTATGGCTCCTTATTTGTCTCTAAGCAAACTATTGCATTACCATTTAAAAAAAAGTTAGATTTTAAAATACAGATAATGCATCAAGAAAAATACACATCACAGTGTTTATTCCTTCTTTACCTTCTGAGGTGCTCCTAACACATGAAGATATAGTGTAGCAAACTTTGAATCAACGGAAGGTAACTGAATGGCTACTTGCACCCATGATAGAGAAATGTGTTTCTTTTTCTATATATAGAATAGAAACATCTCTTTTATATTGGCAGAATGAGAAGAAAGGTCAATTATATTTTTATTTGGAACACATTTATTTTTGAAAGAATGTGACCTATCCCTTCTGTCCCTCTAATAACTGAGAGGAGACTAAATTAGGTTTGAACACTTAAAAACGTGGCTATACTCTGAAAACCGGCTATGTAAAAAAGGCTCTGTTGGACCATTGATCAATCTTTATGGATCTCAGTGATTCCATTGCAAATGTGGTCAGGTTTTTTCCAAGCTCACCAACTCTGGAAATATCTCCTGGGATCTTACAGATCTTTTCATATATTATTGCCATTAATAGAGGTTCTATAACCAAATTCTGAACTCAGTTACAATTGAGCAATCCTATCATTTCGAAATCTGCCTTTGGTCATATCTTAGTAATTCTACTGTATACAGACTCTGCTCTCAGTGACACCTGTGCACCTTGATGGACTTCAAAAGAGTTGCACAAGTGTCCTTATGGGAAGAATCTGCCTCTGAAATTGGAACCTGGTTAACAACTGAATTCAATTCATTTTTTGAAGTAGTGGTGGAGCTGCAGCGTTAGCCAGAGTAAAAACTTATCTTTGTCACTAGTGCTTTCATAAAGCTATAGACACAGAAAGAGCAGATCACTTGAAGAAGAAGGTGCCACTTTTCAGAGCAGAACCGTAATTGAAGATCCTTTTCTGCCTTAGGAAATTAAAGCTAATTGTACATTCTATGGATTTGATTCCTTAGCAGTCTCACATGCTTTGATGTGTGGTGGATGGACCAGGAGGAAGTGCAATGGAGCTCACCGGGAAGCTGGAAATAGGGAAACTCTTCGAAGTGAAGTAGCCCTATGATCCACAGTTTCAATGTATTGCAATGTGCAAACTGCAATTCTAGCTAAACCTAGAGTGAAGTTATTCTGTGAGGGGAAAAAATTATGTCACTACAAGAGGATTCTACTATGTATGTTAAATTTTTATGTCCAACCCCCCCCACACCAATAATAGTTATTTAAAAATTAACAGGCAAGTAGGATGGACGGGGAAGAAACATATAACATATTGCTATATTCTATTAATGGTACTTGCATCTCAGATAAAAGGTGAATATAGTCAATCTTTACACACAGAAGATTTATTTAGAAAGGGCACAGTGAAAGAAGAGGAACAAGAGTGTCAAAATCAGCAAAAAGGATATGTCAGTTTATAGCACTGGAGTTCACTCAGGGTCAAATCCCTCCCTCCTGCATAGAGCTATGGGTAACCAGGCTCTATACAGGCAGGAAGCAGAGGGCGTTGAAACCTACCTTCCTCAGCTCACATAAGCCCATGGGCAGGGGTAGCAGCCAGAGCACCTCTGCAACAGATGCACTGGGAGTGAAAATTCTGTTAATGAGAGTTTTGTCATTGATTTCAGTGAAGCCAGGATTTCACCCTAGATCTTGGGGCCACTGGATTTGTGTGAACACAGACCCCGTGGGCCCATTCCATTGTGTTTTTTCAGGCCAGCCTATGGAAGCTGGCACGGAGAGTCTTTCTACGGTGCAAAGAGGTTCTTTTATTTGTCCCCACGTTGTATTTGTGCCTTATTTATTATGGCAATGTCGCCATGTGAAGGGCCCTGAGCTAGTCCCATGCGGCAGATTCTCAGCTGCTTCAAGTGGTCACATCTCCACTAACTTCAATGGAGCTATGACAGTTTATACCGGCTGAAGATTTGCCCTGGTGGGTAAATTTCACTCCTAAAACACAGATTACAAACACATATGGCAAGTGCATGAACAGCAGCAAATCATGAACTTGGGATTACAGCACTCGGAATTAACCTGATGGGTGTAGGTTTAGCCATATCTTAAAATAGGTTGTGTCCAAAATGTACTCTGAAACGGAAAATATCAGGTTTCTCCTTTTCATTAATGTATTATTAAGACAGGATAGCATTTTGACTGTACCCAGCAAATACATCTTTGACAGGGTGGTACCAACAAAAAATTATCTTTAGTTGATGATGTCTGAAAGTGAGATCTAGGCTACAATTTTCAGATGTTAATTCTCCGAGGGCCAAATTCATATCTGATGAATCTCTATGGAAGTCAGTGGAGTTACAACAGAATTAAATTTGGCCTCAGATGTGTTGTGCAGATGGCACAGTTGCTCTCTAGGGTGCTGCCTGCACTGCCTTATGATCTCACTATGTTTACATTAGAAGTTTTGTGAAGAGGTAATAACAGCAACCTCAGAGGAAGCTACACATTCTACCACCCCAGCCAGACTGCGTAAATGTCCTAAAGGAAGGGTGGGCTGTTGGCCTGTAGAATGAAGGGATGAGTTTTGCCCTTTCATTGCCTATGAGCTCATTCCAGCAAAAATAAAATTAACCCTCCCACTCCCTGCATGAAGTTCAAATGTCAACTTCCTCCATTTAGCAGCAACAGCAGCAGATGGGAGAGCTATGCCAAAACCATGCTGCTAGTGTGTACAAGTCAGTAAATAACAGTACTTAGCTGCTTATACTATTTTAATATATGTTTTCATTCATGTGAATATATGTTTTCACAATTTCCCTCCTCAGTAAATGCTTAAAACATTTTAGAAGCAAAATAAGAACAATTTTGGTTTTCAGGGAGAAAGAAAACAGTAAAGTTAGACAACGGAAGTTTTTCCAAGTCAAACTGGAGTGTTTTGGAACATCAGATACATTTGGGAAGCGTATGTTCAGAAAGAAGCACAGTCTGACACAGTTGTACGTTATTGAAATTACAGAGGTAAGGAAATGTCATATTAACCCTGAGTTTTAGATCTTTATACTTCAATAGTTAAAGGGATACCTACTACCTAAAAATACAGTGCAACTTTATTTGGACAATCATAGTTTCAGATAATTGAGGGAATCTTCAATTTTATTAATAAAACCGGGGGGCGGGAGGACGACATGACCCTTTTTGGAGTTTCAGATAATCAAGTCTGCTCAATTTCAAATTAGATTTTTCTTTTTCACAATCTCTGTAACTATGAATGATGTAGATGCTGGTCTCTCTATGCAAACTGCCATCATACTGATACTTCCTAGCCCAAACTCCAGTCTGATGACAGCCAGACTATAAAAATTACAGCTCCTTCGAATGCATGAGAATCAGGGACTTATAAATAACCTTAGAATATGTATTTTGTTAGTTTATGTTGATCAAAAGACCATACTTTCCCATGCATACCAATGGAAGCTGCAATTTCCCAGCGTTACTGTTCATGATCAAACAGTCAAGATATCAGATATGTGTGTGTGTGTGTGTGTGTGTGTGTGTGTGTGTGTGTGTATAAGTATGACTCAATAACTTACTTTACAGCTAGATTAATAGAATATATTTTATACTACACTGGCATTAGTTAGCTGAGACATTTGTTTATGGTTATTTGAAAAAAATGTAAGTTTGCATAAGAGGAGATAACATTTTAGACATCCCATGAAGAGGGCGCTGTGTTTCATTACAACGTCACTTATGTTCATAATTGGGTGAACTGACCCTCCTGGGTAAACTGACCCTAAAAGAACTTCCCTCAAATGGTATGTCAGCTTAGCAGGCAAATGAACAAGTTGATCTGACTTCTACATTCAGGGACTTGGAACTTAATTAAAGGTAGAGGAAGAACACAAGTTCATTTGACAGATTGACTAATTGGATGGATTGCTTTACCTTTTCTTAAGGCTAAGGACAGAATGGTTTTATATGCAAAGGAAAGAATGGTTGGAAGACAACAAACAATAATGCAGTTTCCATGAATGAAACAATGCAAATAACCAGATTTAAGCTGTAAAAGAGGCTTAAAACAATTTTTTTTAGTTATTTCAAGATGCAAAACAATAGATATATTTCTCTTTACATTTAGAGTAGTAATACACTTGATATTTTAAAATTTTGAGTTTCATAAATTATACTTTTTCTCTGTGGTTCTCAAACTATGGTTTTGTGCACCAGCAAGAATGAAACATTTCAGATGCCTCCAATGGAAGATTAGAGTTAGGACTGTTTTGGTGTCTATGAACATGCTAGGTGGTGGGATTTAAGAATGACAAAGCTGGAGAACCATTGCCTTTATTTATATATATATATATATATATATATATATATATATATATATATATATATATATATATAAACAATTACATTATATACTTTTATCTAGCTAAGGACCTAACTTCAAAACAATTTTCACTGTGTAATGGATCTTGCTATAAGCATGATAGTCCCTAATCAGGATATAAACAGAGTTTGGTCTTCACTAGCTAGGCAATGTCAAATGATGCTTTATCCACAGTGTGGAATCATGCTAAAGCTCAAGTCTTTTACAGGACTCTAAGAAGATTCTGAAGCTTTGTCTGTTCCCATCTGCACATGCAAGACCAACTCCATTATAATAAGGAGGGGGGCTAGCATGTTACAACATGATCTAACACATTAAAAATTTGGTAGGTGGATGTTTGGTTACCTTTTCCCAATTCCCTTAAATAACAATGTGATTTAATTCCCATCTATAGGGGAATTTTCTTATAGCCTGACTATTAAATACTTATAAAATGCCACAAATCATTGAAACATGAAAAATACAATGTTATTTAGGCCTATATATTGACAAGTAAAATGAAAACTGGGACAAATGAAAACACCAAAGGCTATTTAAAGTGGCATATTTTATATGTAAGCTATGTTTAGAAACTGAAAAAAAAATAGAAAGAGGATTTAAACATAACCACATTGCTCTAGCAAGATAGTTATCTCATGCATAGGATAAAAATGAAAAGCAGGGGAGAATTACATCCACAGTAGAACTGTTATTTTAGTTCAAGATAATGTCCCATTCATAGCACAGATGTAGATTATATTTGTTTATATTTGTAAATCAAAATGTGTAAGCAATCATTAACTTGTCAAATGATGGATAAAAGACATCATTGCAGCCTAAAGCAGGTCATCTTCCACTTCATTTGGTTTTCAGACTGTTTCATCATCACTCATGTCCCAAATCTGTAATGAGAAAACAAGCGATATTTCACTCAGTATTTCAAATATGCTTTCAAAATACCTTATAAAACCACTAATCCAATCCACAACTAATCAGTGGAGTCTAGGTTTTTTGGATCAGTAAATCATTTGCAAACCAATCTCTTTAGTTGCACACACATTTTGGCACTTGTACTTATTCCTATAATAGTCTGGATGAATAATTTTCATTGGTTGTTTCTAAGCTATCCCTTTGGCTGTTTGCTATTCATTATGTAAGGTGTGTGGCTGGTCACTTGATATTGTTTCTGCTTGCTGATTGCTTGACAAATTGTTACCAGGAAAATAACAAATGATGAATAATAAAGAATACATTTTCAATATAAAACTTTAGGAATTTGTGATATCATCTGGAAAAATCAGTGGCCACGCAAATATCTGAGAATAACCAATAGTATGACCCACAAAGAACAGCAAATTTAATTCAAGCTATATATATATATATATATGTGTGTGAATTTGTTTTCCTCCTCATTTTTTAAGAAGTTCTATTAACCATTCAATAATTTACTGAAAAACATATTTTATGCAGCAAGATGTAATTGTATATTTACTTTGGTTATGGGTTATGACCAAGACATATCCTGGAAACCCAACCTGGAAAACAAGGTTAACATATTCACAGAATCTCAATGGAACCTGGAGTCCTAGAGGCCATACAAATTGAGGGTAAGTTCTGTATTTTCAATCAGTTGTTAGGACACAGAGTGCTGCATTTTAAAAAATGCAAAAACTTGCAATGGCACCTGTGTACATTCACTAGAGTGCACACTAGAGGCATGCCTGTTCTTTCATGGAAATGCTGGTGCATTTAGCAGGTTTTACCACCATTTATTTTGGAGGGTCAGTGAGTGGATGCCCCAGACTTCATACCCATAAGTTCAAAATCTTTGCATTCTTTCTGAAAAGTTCATGGAGTTTCAAATAACAAAATGGAATAATCGAAAAGGAAACCCCACAACAGAGTATGCCGTAATAGTGGAAGGTACCATAGGTCTGGTCTAAGGTTTACTGTAAAGGCCACTAACTTATGTTTGAATTTTTTTAGTTGTAAAATAAGTCTGCTATACTCAATAACCATTCTCCTTCCCCTCCCCCCCCCAAGTTGCAATTAGAGATGTGAAAAGATAAAGAACTAAGGCAGGGGTTCTCAAACTGGGGGTTGGGACCCCTCCGGGGGTCACGAGTTGTCAGCCTCTACCCTAAACCCGGCTTTGCCTCCAGCATTTATAATGATGTTATATAAAAAAGTGTTTTTAATTTATAAGGGGAGGGGCTTGTACCCAGATGCTTGCTATGTGAAAGGGGTAACCAGTGCAGAAGTTTGAGAACCACTGAGCGAAGGGATAAGAATGAAGGTTCTCTCATGGATCAGTAACTGGTGAAAAGACAGAAAACACACAGTAGGAATAAATTATTAGGTTTCAGAATGGAGAGAGGTAAATAGTAGTATCCCCCAGGATCTTTACTGTCACCAGTGCTGTTCAACATATTCATAAATGATCTGGAAAACGAGGTAAACAGTGAGGTGGCAAAATTTGCAGACAATACAAAAATACTCAAAATAGTTAAGTCCAAAGCAGACTGGCCAGAGTTACAAAGGGATCTCACAAAACTGAGTGACTGGACAACAAAATGGCACATGAAATTCAGTGTTGATAAATGCAAAGTAATTGGAAAACATAATCCCAACTATGGGATCTTAGCTGTTACCACTCAACAAATTGATCTTGGAGTCATTGTGGATAGTTCTCTGAAAACATCCACTCAATGTGCAGCGGCAGTCAAAAAAATCTAACTGAATGTTAGGAACCATTAGGAAAGGGATAAATAATAAAACAGATAATATCATAATGCCACTATATAAATCCTTGATACGCCCTCACCTTGAATACTGCATGCAGTTCTGATCACCCCATATCAAAAAAGATACATTAGAATTTGAAAAGGTACAGAGAAGGGCAACAAAGATGGAACAGCTTCTGTATGAGGATATATTAAAAAGACTGGGTTTTCAGCTTGGAAAAGACATGACTAAGAGGGGATATGATAGAGGTCCATAAAATCGCAACTTGTGTGGAGAATGGGAATAAAGAAGTGTTATTTACTTCTTCACATAACACAAAAACCAGGAGTCACCCAATGAAATTAATAGGCAGCAGGCTTAAAGCAAACAAAAGGAAGTACTAATTCACACAACACACAGTCACCCTGTTGAATTTGTTGCCAGGGGATATTGTGAAGGCCAAAACTATAATGGAGTTCAAAAAAGAACTAGATAAGTTCAAGGAGGACAGGTCCATCAATGGCTACTCCATGATCTGGGTGTCCCCAGCCTCTGACTGGGAGTGGACTACAGGGGATGGGATCACTCGATGATTGCCTGTTCTGTTCATTTCCTCTGAATCACCTGGCACTGGCCACCATCAGAAAACAAGATACGGGGCTGGATATACCATTGGTCTGACCCAGTGTGGCCATTTTCATGAAAAGTAAATTAGTTTGCAAAGGAATAAGAATAATTTACACTAAAAAAAAATGTCCTCCCCAAATCCTTGCTCTTTGAATGTAAGCTGTAGATTTTATATATTTCTCCCTGTCTGATTACCATTTACAGTGACTGAGTCAAATTCATTCCATTTAATTTAAAAGAGTTATATCAGAGAATGAATTTGGTCCTGTAGGAATCATACCTTAAAGCGGGACTTTAAGGAATGTAGCAAGACTACCTAGCAGGTTGTCCTTGGCTTTACTGAAAGGCTGTCATAATTTTACCCTTAAGTGTGCGAGAAATTAATCTAAAACTTGGACCATTCAATGCATGTCCCAGCTAAATCCCATAGACAGACTACCATGTCAGGTTCTTCTGACTACAAGAATAAGATTGGCATTTCCAAGGCACAGGCCTTGGACCTCAAAAGGTTAGCCCACCATAATAGCTGAATCTAGGAACTATGAGCATCACCTTAGTGATCTTCTGTTTCTTAGCTGTCTCTATCGAGTATCAGGCCGAGGTTATCTGCCTGGAAGTGTTGTGTGTTGACATTAGGCTGGCCACAAGATTATTCTCTACTTTTCCATCCTGACTGATGGAAAAACATGTGCCAACAGAAGCGTAAGATGCCAACATTTATTTGGACTGTAAACTCTTCAGGGCACTGACTATCACTGAATTTTTACAGTGCCTAGCACAATGGGGTCCTGTTCTTGGTTGGCCCTGAAGCACTACTGCAATACAAATAATAAATAAAAACAACTGTATTTTCAGACAGACTGTAATTGACATTTACATATAATTTCCATAAAATCTAACCCTGCAAAATATGACTTTTCTAGAATTTGGATATTTACTGACAAAGCCCCACCAAAATCTGGACCTAGTAATGTCTACACACAGCTCTCTGTAAAACACATTCTTTAAATGGTAAGATTTTCTCAGTTCCTAAAAGTGGTTGCAAAATGGTGGTATAAAAATCCTTGTGGAAAATGCTGAAGGAACAGTTTGTTTACAAAAGGAAAAGAGAGTTGATGAGCGACTTAGAGTTTGCCAATGAAAATACAAATGTCCAATTCACCATTCAGGGTCAAGGATGTGGAAAATAAATATGAAAGAATTATCTTTAAATAGAGTTTATGGTATGAATCAAGCTGACAAAAGGCAAGAAATTCAAAGTTCAGGCTGATATTCCATCCTCAACTAACCCCAGTTTGAGTTTTTCAAACTTTGTAATAGCAACAAGGACAGATTTTAACCCTCACTCTTCTGTGTGTTAAAGAAAGATACTAAACACATTTATAGATTGCACAGTGGGATGAGTTGAGGACAGGGTGTCCACAATTTTCTTTTAAACAAACATAGTGAAGGAAGCCAGACTAAATGCTCCAAAAGTTTTCTTTGTCCACGGAAGGAATATATCATGGTCCTATCCAGCTTCCCCTCACTGTGCTAGCAGTGTATCTCATTTCTTCTTCTGAACAGTGCAAGTGAGAACTTAAGAATGGCCACATTGGGTCAGACCAATGGTCCATTTAGCCCAGTATCCTGTCTTCCAACAGTGGCTAGTACCAGGTGCTTCAGAGGGAATGAACAAAACAGGGCAATTATTGAGTTATCCATCCCCTGTCGTTCACTCCCAGCTTCTGGCTATCAGAGGTTAATAGCCATTGCTGGACCTATCCTCCATTAACTTATCTCATTCTTTTTTTAATCCATTTATACTTTTGGCCTTCACAACATCCCCGGTAATGGGTTCCACAGGTTGCCTGTGAACTGTGTGAAATAGTACTTCCTTACATTTGTTTTAAATCTGCTGCCCATTAATTTCACTGACTGACCCTGGTTCTTGTGTTATGTGAAAGGGTAAAAAACACACATTCTTATTCACTGTCTCCAAGTAAGTTTGCCCTATATGCTTTCTTGACCTCTTTACTGAGAGTAGATGACAAGGGTGCCAGCTGTACTGGAGATTTTTATGATCTGGACATATCTCCTTTAGGAAATGGTCTGAAACTTCTGACTCATTTCAGACAGGCCTCTGGACAGCTGTTAGGTGGCCATCTTTATTAATCGCTCCTGACCTAGGGTGGATTTTAACTGTTACTTTAGAGGTGAAAGGCTCCCTATCCCATTACCTTTCCAGTCACCTTGCTCAGCCTTAATTTTTTATTTTCTAGCTCCTCTCAGGTAAAGCTAGATACTGAATTTTCTATACTATAATTTATTTTATCTTAAATCTTCTATACAAGGTTCTAAAATGTACATTTTAAAAGAACCTTAAGTTTTCTTCTATGCTACAAAATATTTGCTCAGTTAACACCACCTGCCCCCAAGTTGTGTTTTAACTAAAGAGCAGAAGAAGCGATTTTTTTTGGAAATTGGTAAAAATAGAAAATAGCCAGGATCTAAGACTGGACATCCTACCACTGCTTCTTAAAGAGTACAGTGGAATCAACAACTTGCCTAG